CAAAACTATTAACATCCTTAGCAAATTGTTATTTTTTATACATACTTGGCCGTGCCTTCTAAAATACTGACATAGTTTGACTTGTTTGCTAACTGTTCTGCCGCGTCATCAGTTATTGCACCTGATAACCTTGGTTTTAAACTTGGACTTATTGTTGGTTTCAAAGCTTGAGGACTCTTTGATGCATTAAGAGCGGATGGAGAGCAAACGGACTGATTTGCATGAACAATTCTTTTTCCAGGCGGTGACATTAACATTGAATTTGTTCCTGGTGATACTGGTGACATGTTTGGAGATACTACTAACATATGTTGGATAGATCTTGACTGTGTCCGTGAAGGTGGAACTATGAAAGTAGATTCTTTGTTAGAAGTTCGTTGTTTTAAGGAAGGTTCACGTTTCTCATTTGACATTCGTGAACTTTGTGTAATTGGTTGCTGTTTGTCAATTTTTTGAATGCCTTGAGTAGGCCTGGACGAAGTGGAATTCTCTTTCAATTTCATTAATGAGGATGGTGTTATTGGTGCAATCTTGTCAGATAAAGAATGATTATCAGAAGTGGCAGTAGGTAGAAGAGTGAATGGAGATTGTGTCGACGCTACTTCGGATACAAGATTACTACCAAGGGACAAGTTTGGCATAGGCTCCTGCGCAGTTATGGATGACGTTATCATAATATTCGTCGAAGGTAATGATAATGACATGCTCGAATTTGGTTGTATGGAAGGTGAACCTGTCATTATAGTTGGTATTATGTTACTAGTAATGTTGTTATTCTCAGGATCAGTATTATCATCGCTGTGACTAGTAGGTTCTTTTATCTGGATTTGCTCAAAAGAATTATTTCTTTCTATATTTTGATTGTTCGACGGAGAATAAGGATGATTGTTCTGATTACGTCGTCTTGTCAGACTATCTGATAAACACATAGCTTGATCCGATTGAGAGATTGAAGAGGTTAGGGCAGGCGACAAATAGATGTATGGATCTACTAATGCCGGGGATTCCAAAGGTTCAAAGAAAAACTAAATAAACACGAAAGTTAAATTCAACAATGCGGAGTTATCCAGTTATACAGTTGTTTCATTGTTAATAGAAAATGCAACCTCATCTTCATAGTAAGTATCTTCCATTGTTAACTCTCCGGAATTTAGAATAATAGAATAAGGTGACATCATTACTGACTCTGAACAAGAATTATCATCAGAACCGTTAGAAGTTGATAAAATATCGTTCGACAATGGAAAAGTTGAAGCGGTAGACTGCTGAGAAAAATTTAGGGAATTTGCAGAAGCCAGATTGTTTGATGAAGTAAGAGTGACAGTTTGCTGCTGGTAATTGTTAGTTATAGGTGAATTTTTACTGACATTATGTTGTTTTTGGGCGTCCATCGGTGAAAAGCCCAATTTCAAATCGTGATAATCAAAATTTGGAAAAGTTGCCATAATTTAAATGTTAGTAGAAAAAGGGGATAAATCGTAACAACGAGCCAATAGGTTTGATTGTTTTCGCTAATAAACTATTACAAATGAACCTGACACAAGAAAACAGATACGATAGATAAACAAACAAATTTTGGCAAGAAACCTTTAAAAAGGGTCAAATCATTAAATAATTTTGTGGAGTTGATATACAGTAAGTTTTAATATATCGATAATATGTGCGTACGTACGGTAACATGTAAATGAGCCATTAGACAAACAAAGGCACTTTTATCCTATTTGTCCTCTTACAGAATAGAACACACAACAAAAAAGGTAAGCGTAATCTACAATATAAAAATACTATTTTATATTAGTATCTTAACATATGATGATGAATTAATCTTTTTTGAATGTGTCAGCATGCATAATCTGCATATTTTATATCCAATAAAATCATCAGGTTTTGCAATGTTTCAAGTAACTGGTGCTTCCCTGAGAGAGCATTGTACTTTTTTTTTTTTTAAGTTTTAGTTTTATGCGTTAAAATTCACATGAATCACAAGTTTTTCAAGGATTTTAATTGCAGAGCCTCTATCATCCAAGGAAAACTATGTTAAATATGTCCTCAAAGCATCGCCATGAATTCCCCCGCAACTAAAAAAAACTTAAAGCTGGAAAATCTCTGTTGAAGATAACTTAAATGTGTTATACAAGATTCGACCGAAAAGTTTTCTTTTTCGATTTTTTGATGACATGCATTTGTTTACTGCATTTTGTTTATTGTATATCGATATGAAATGACATAATCGATGTGCGCCGCAATAGCGAACCTGCTGCCATTCAGAGATTCAAAGTTCTTACGTACGTACGTACGTACTAGATTTTAAAGTACGGACTTACGTACTCTATACATGCATACACACATCATTGCATAAAAAAGGTATATACGTACCTAAAATTTGGTATTAGTTAGGGCTTACAGTAATTTTGTCGGTCCGCATATTATTGTTTAAAATGTTCTTTTTGATGCAGCAAATTAAATATTTGTTTCGTATTTAATTCATAGATCAAAAATAATACTTTTGAATGGCCGGCAAATTAATATGGTACGTAGTTTAAACTAGAGATGTCGAACAAACCCGCAAATAAAAATTACGACATTTCCAAACCCAAACAAATCAACCTGCCATTATGCATAATAATTTTTCGGTCTCCTTTCTGCAGCAAAAGATGCATAAATGATTTTTTATTTGAAATTTGATCAGTTTGACCATTGGGATTACTACAGTAACTACTATTATCGAAATTCACGGGTTTGTTCGACATCCCTAGTTTAAACCCTGGTGTTAGCTACGTTACGATGGAAACGTGAGTAGTAAACTCAAAGTCTGCCTATATAAATTCTCTCGATATAGTGAATTTACTAATAAAACTTGATGCAGTGAATTTTGAAATATTTTTATTAATGGAATATAACAATTCTTATACCATTCGATTCGTCTTATCAAGACGAATCGAATAATATAAAAAACATTCGATTCTGACCAACAGATTGTAAAATAATTGTACAAAACTTTATTTAGAGCGAACAATCTGGCGGACGGATGATTGTCACAATGCATATAGTTAATGTTAATAATGTTAATATGTTGATTCGCCACTTTACCTACCCACCGTTGAAGTTACTCAGCACTAATAAAGTTGTGCAAATAAAGTCAACTTGCTTTTTTATTGATTTTAAAAATTTTGTAATTATAATATATATTTAATGAAATTTTACTATTGGCGTATTTTGATAAATTTTAACTCCGCCAAATTGACAAATTACCTCCCTCTACTTTATATATACTTATTAATCATATATTTACTAAAATTTAATCAATATTGTGGACAAAAAAAATGCACTTTAAACTTAAATAAAAGCTACATGTCTATTTGGATTTGTCTATTACACAAATTAAAAATCCAAAAACTTAACTATTAATAAGAAACTTAACTATTAATAAGCAAACCTATATAAGGGTTTACAATTGTTTAAATATACAATAAAACTATAATACATAATTATAGAATTACGTATTTTTTTTACAGCTTGAAACTACAAAACATAAGAATGAATATACATGCTATATCGTGTCACCATTAGAACAATATTATTAATACAATTTATTCTTCTTTATCGTGATCTTCTGGTTTTAGACCCAGTAAACGAAGATGCTTAATATGTGATCCAATAGCTTCCCAAAGAGTATCCTATAATTAAGGAATCATTTAGTAATTTGTATTCACGTTGCTAAAAAATTTTCTTTCAGTGATTATGTAGTACCTTGTAATAAAACTGGATTCCAAATTCCCGACATGTCTCCTTAACGATAGGACCAATCCTATGATAATGATGTTGGGATACTTGAGGGAAAATATGGTGAACAGCTTGATAATTCAAAGATCCGACAATCGACGTTAAGAACCCGGACTCATGCGCATAGTCTTGGGTTGTCAGAACCTGTTTAAAATAGGTAATAAAAATAAATAAATATTATTATTATGACTATGATGAATAATAAATGAGTAACGTTGCTCAGCAAAAAAAAAAAAACTTACTTGCATTTCGGCCCAATCTTTTTGTATGAAACCATTTTTATCAGGAAGAGGCCTAATTTTATTTTATAAATAGTTAATAATTAATTAATTAATTATATTCATGGAATTCACAATATAATATCACAGAAGGAAGAAAGATGTATTAGAATTACCATTCTACTTCATCCACAACATGATTAGCTTGGAATGTCAAAGCTAACCAATATGATGAAACTGCATCAGCGATGGCGAATAATGAGAAAACTTTCCATGCGGAAAAGCCCATCATCAAAGGAATGATGATGCGATGTAACACGAAAAATACCTAAAGCAAGGTTTTATATTACATGGTTTAAGATCAACACTTTATGCACCTTTTTAAAATTTGATCCTACCTTGCCACCCCAAAATACACAATTATGCCATGTTGTAATAGGATTTACTCGT